TAATATAATAATTTAATAATAATCTCGATACATAATAATTATACTAATACAGTCCATGCCGTCTTTAAGCACGGTCGTCGGGAGAAAGCCTAAGCGTGCTTAAAGTTAAAGCCGAAGCGTGCTTGAGTGCGAAGTAGACATAATCCAGAGATTTTCATGTAGAAAATTTCCCGTGCTATTTCCCTTTGTTTATAAGTAGGCCTACAGCGGTCCCGCAAAAGTGTGCACTGTTTTAGACACCCGCCATGGTAGTTTTTGTTTGCTTGTTTGTTTTTGTTTTGTGGTCGATTGGGAAATGAAAACTTAATTTAGACGGCCAGTCACGATACAGCACACTAGGCCTACACACTGCCTGTGGGTACCACTACCCGCTGTGCCACTCATATCACCGCCTTCATCCCACCTCGAGCGTGATAAATAATCAGGATTAATGGATAGCGAGGGTCAAAGGTGAAATCGCAGCCAGCCTCCCTTTCTTGTCTCCCCGACTCTCTTTCTATTTTTTTTTTGGTCGTGTGCAGCTTTGCCCTAGGCCTAGGCTAGATCCTATGTCCGCGCGCTTGGCTGTGTGCATCTGCCTTCCTCTCCGCCCGTGTGAGTGTGTGTGTCCATCACTTGCGTTCTTTGTGTTTCTCTTGACACACTCCACTGCTGCGGTGGGTCATCATGAAAATATTGACTGTCTTGTAAATGAAGCGTGCTTGAAACCGAAGTTACCGTGCTTAAAGGCGTGTAATTTATATAGCAAAAATTAGGTAAGAGCCGTTTAGCGTGCTTGAGTCCGAAACGTGCTTTAAGCCGGCGTGCTTAAAGCCGGCACGGACTGTAATAACAATTATAACATAGATCATCAGCAGCAGTCGAAAATACATGCACAAGGCCCTTTATATGTGAGGAAAATTAATTGTTACAAACATTAATTTAAATGGCACTTTAAAGCTGTACGGTACAATCTTTTTCCCGTCCTTCTGCTATTGTCTCCCTTGAAAACAATTTTGTTGTTGTTTTCCTTTCCTATCGGACACTGAAGCAGTGATCACTAAGCTAAATCGTCACTATTTCACATACACACTAACATAGTTTAATTACTAAATATTAGTAAGACTAAATAAAGTAGTTAAAATTCAGCAGAGGCCTATATAAATATAATACAAAGGATATGTATCATATAATTATATAATAATTTAAAAATAATATCACAAACACAAAAGAAAAGCTTTGAGGAGACAAAGACAGTCACAGGAATGTGCAATATAATTTCTTATAGGCGAGAGTATTATGACATTTGTTTATCTGATGACATGTCGAAATCAAAGCTAAAATATTTCTGATGTCATAATACACGGTAGCAAAAGTTTATAGAATCTCTATCCCATTTTTTTCATGGCTTCCCATTTCTTGGCGCTCCCCCCCCCCCCCCCCCAACTGTGTTCCCCTTCTCAATCTCAGGGTCAGTCTAGTAGAATCCTCAAACCCAACTAACATTGAGTTCCTCAGTGTGTGCTGTCAGCATCGCTGACCGTTTGCCGTTTATGACACCACAGCGCCAGAAGAAAGAGAGAGAGAGAGAGAACCCATAACTAACTTTCAACCATATATACATAGATTTCTACTGTGTGCCTATAGAAAGGTACCAAAAGTCGAATTTCAACCATTTTGAATAAAGGGTTGTACCTAATAGGACATTCAATGCTGAACACAGTGGTTTTTGAATTTTTGAGACGTCTCCAGTAGTTTTTGAGATATTGCACATTTTGCGAGTTAGGGTATAAAGATCTTATTTTGAGAAAATTAGCGTTTAAGTTTAGATTTAGATCACAAACAAACTTGAAAAAAAACGATGATTCAATTCAATTGTTTCTAATGTATTTATTCATGGAAAATTCATTTCCAATTCAGCATTCAGTTCACATCAATATCATGATAAGAATTCAATGGTAAAACATAGCGGGGAAGAGAAAACATGCTTCAAGAATAGATTTTTACGGAACACCTTTTAAAAGAAGTTTTCATTACCTTTTTTGAAACACACTCTACCCTCAAAATAAAATATTTAGAAGTAAGTAAAAACTCTTTTAACACATTGTTAAGAAATAGTGGAACTATCATTTTTTAAAAATGGAAACACATTTTGATCAAAAAAGTGATTTTTTTTCATTATATCAGTATCAGCCTGTAGCTCTAAATGGTCTGTGGCGACTTTTGGTATCTTTCTTTAGGCACACACACTTCTTATTTCCGACCTATGTATACGAGAATACTTCACTGTCATGGAGGGTACCCAGATTCGATTCCCCAGCGGGTAGGGTTGGGTCGGGCTCGCAAAATTATCGTCCGTGAGTAACGAACTACTCGTTGGCACTACCCGCAAACGAGCGGACGGGTAACGAACTATCCGTTTGCGAAGAGTAGTTCGCTACTCGCTACACATCGCGCAGAGACAACAGTTCGTTTAGCGAGCGAGCGGACCGAGAGACTCCATGCATTCGAGCGGGCGGATGGACGGACGGGAACGACTCCTTCCATTGCCTACAACTTACAACCCCCCGCTCCCCCCCACCAAAAAATAAAATTAATTTAAAAAAATCACCCTCCTGCCTCACATTGTAGCTAGGCGTTCATGGCGGAAATTTCCGCCCCCCCCCCCGGCCTTTGAGATAATTGGAACGTACACAGTGTGCCCCACGCACGAGGTGAAAGGTTACACACATAGTAGGCTACTACGTCACCAGCCTCTCTCACTCCCTGTGGCACCGCTAGTGGTTTCAAACATCAGGCCTAATTAACAAACAATAGACGACGGGTCTAATCTCGCGTCGAGCATCTCATCTGCTAGAGTTCTTCCGTTCGCCCGCCCACCCAGTGAATAAAATTGTGGAGCGGACCCAAAAAACGAACTGACTTGAGGCTTGAGGTCCGCAGTCCGCTCGCTGAGAGAGTCAAATTGTGGAGCAGACCCAAAAAACGAACTGTCTTGAGGTTCACAGTTCGCTCTCATGGCCGTCCGTTACCCATTCGCTCTGACTGAGTCCGCGAGTAACGAACCTGTCTGTCCGCTCGCCCCATCTCTACCAGCGGGAAGATTAAAAATTAAAAAAAAAAATTATCGAGTATCTCAGTCTTTCTGCTGGGATGTTGTATCCCTTTAAGTCTTATTTGGCCCTGACAGACAATGTTGAAACCTGCCTCCTAAATCATCTAAATTGTGTCGTTGGGGGGGTGTAAAAATATGAACTTTAAAAAAAAAGAGATTTACCAGTATCTAAATATTTGCCAAACAATATTGCAAAATTGCACTTCATAATTCATAACTTTATTAATTCTCTGTTCACACTTCAGACCTGGCACATAATGAGGAAAACGTCTCTCCGCACTTTCTGTCTCTCATTCACACAAACCGCAGGCAGGATTGAATGAGGTCAGAGAGCCATTGTGCTCCTCGATGAACTTCACTGCTCCTATCCACAAAGGCCTTATCACAAAAATTGTCAAATTCTGTTTTGATACTCGTCAAATTCTTGACTGTGAGATCTTCACCAACAAGATGCTCCTCATAGAAAGCCAAAGCCAAAGGTACCAAACCTCCCATAGATTTTGAATGCTCCTCTATTCCGATATGGGCTACTTTTCCTTTTTCTACAGTCAATTCAATGCTAACAGTACAGTCATGTTCATGAAACTGATGTCCTGTGAAGTCACGCCTGAGAGTGAACTTTGGTGTTTTTCCGAAAATCCAAGGCCACGACTGTAGACGTTCTTTATTCTCAGCCACGCCTGGGAATTGAGATTCATCCATTGGATCAACTGCGATGTACTCTTTCGGATCAGCCTGAAAAAACCATTCAGCAGCATTTCAGTGTGTCTGTCTGGAGAAAGGTTCCAGTTGTTAGCAAAGTTATTTTTGAGCAACAAGGTGAAAAGGCTAAAACGTTGTTCCTGGTCAAAAATTGAGTTCCATCACAAAACACACGTTTAACTATTTCTAGCATATATTGAAAGAATTTTATAATATTTTATGGCCTTATATATATATTCGTTTTTGCAACATGTAGTACTTAACCAAAGGTGACGAAATTAGGGTTTTCTCCAAACTTTATTTTTACTTTTACACCCAGTGTTACAAAATGTAGCACATCTTAAAAACTACTCAAGGTATTAAAAAAACCCCACCATTTTCAGCACTGAATGTCCAACAAGAATATGCACTTATTTCAATATCCAAAATTTCCGACAATTGGGACCTTTCTCCTGGCACGCACCCATACAGTGGAACTCAGTTTCAATGAACTCAGATTTAACGAAAGGAGTTGGATTCCCTGTTTTTTTATTCATAAAAATCAATAATATAAAAACAACTCGGATCCAACGAACACATAATGAGCAAGCATGGATGCAACGAAGTCGCTTGCAGGATGAACTGCCCCATGTGACTAATCAGCGGCCTACTTTCATACTAAAAAACACCTGCCGTTATTTTAGCACCCGCAGGTCTTAGCGTATGTCGGGGGCGGATGGGAGTCCAGCACAAATGTGACTGTGGGTGTGTGTGTCTGAGCGGATGGTGGGAGGAAGCACAAGCGGTCCAGGAGTGGAAGTTCAGTAGAGATCACAAACGTGCATAGCTGGCTATTTTTTTTCCCTTGGGTACTGATCAATACAATGGTAAACTAGTCTTGACATAGATTTATATATAATGTAATGAATAGCGCGCTGGACTGTGGAATCAAATGTTGCTGGATGCTAGGCTCTGCACAGCAACATAACTAGCTCGGCAAACAATAGGTTATAGATGACAGATGACACAGGCAGGCATTGAAACAAATTAGCCCTTTTGTAGAGTATGTGTGCTTGGCAGAGTCCACTTTATTTTCCTAGAATTTTCCAGCATTTCTTCAGTATCAAAGAAATGAAAATGGCTCTCATTTGAAACTGAAACCAAACTACTTTTGATAGAGAGAAAGTCAAAAACAGTATAATACATTACTTGCTCAGTGCCTATAATAATTATCTACACAAAAACATTATACTTGCTATATAACGAACACTCAGATTCAACGAAATTGAAGGTTAGGCCCGATGACTTCATTGAATCTGAGTTCCACTGTATAACGTGCAGTTATAACACGGATAGGTCAAACAAAGAAGACTCAATATCACGCATCTCTGTCAAACTGTGTGCGGACCAGGGTTTTTTCCTTCTTTCTTTATCTTTGTAAGATATCCCCCGAACCATGGATCCCTCGAACTACCGAGCCCGGCCCAGACAAATTCAAGCTATCCGTATTAATAAGTAGTAGGCTATGCTGTGTATTTGACCTAGGGTAGGTACAGTAGAACACGGCTATAATGGGACATTTTGTTCCAGAAGAAAAATCCCTCTGTAAGCGAGTTCCCGCTATAGAGATGCCAAGGGGAAATTACAGAAAAATTTATAAAACTCCACATTAATACCTCCCTTCCATTTATATTATATCAATACAATTTGCGCTTTTGATTAGTCTTCCTTTTCTTGTCAACTTCATTGATTATCACGGCTTTTAATTCGAGTGAGAAGCATTTCCTTTTGTCCTTGTTGGAAGCCATCTTTTCCTCGGTTCCGTTGCTTGTGCTGTCTATCATACCAGAAGGGCAACTGTAGAACTGGTGAATCGGATGTGTGCGTATGCTTATGAAAATCAACAATCGCAATTCAATGAATCAGGAACCAAACGCTACACGCTCTCCTTTTTACTTTTTGGCCTAGCTTAGGACTATGGCCTATACGCTCTCATACTGAGTTAACTGAGCCTCTAAGCTATGGCACATCACTTTTGGAGTGGCTCACGTAATGCGTCTCTCCTCACCAGCTCTCTCTGCCGCCTGCCCCTCCTCACTAATTACAGGACTGGCCATTCACAATGCTGCACCGCTAACTACCTGTTTGGAGCCCGCCTACAGCCCCCCAAACCCCCTTCCCCCCAGCTAGAGCTTGCTTGATGTCTCCCGTTGTGTCCGAGTTTGGGCCTTTCCTTGCTCCACTAAACCCGAGCACAGGTAGGCCTAATTGAGTTTACATAGAGAAAAAAAGGGGGATTCCGGTAAGGTCCCGCTGTAGGGATGGTCACGTTGTAGCGGGTGCCGCTGTAGTCGTGTTCTACTGTGCTTTTTGTCTCTGCTCGCTGGCTGCTGTTTTTAGTTTTAGTAGAGGTTTTACGGCGCTTGCAACTGCATAAGGTCATACTGTTGTTTGATTGATGGAAGATCAGGTTACTGGAGCATTAAGGAACATTTACAGGTTACGAATTATTTAGTGGCATTCATCTCAAATCAAGAAGGGCTCATATTAATATTGGATGTGGCAAGAAAACATAGGTTTTTTCTAAGGACTGTTTAACAAATTTTAATGAGAAAGTTATTGCCAATTTAGATCACCCGGGGGGAATGGGTACCTGGTAAAATGATACGGCTAAAGTAGCGGTAAGATATTGTCAGTTTCTTAGTGTCGTTGTGCTTAAAATCGGCTGCTTGCACTGTGTGCTTCCCCAGAAGTAAAGATTGTCTCTGAGTGTTCTAAGTAATTCTATGGGTCTGCTGGGGTAATCACAGTTGTAAAGGGCACTGAGCAAGCTGTAAATTGTAAAGCACGCACAATTATTATTTTATAAATTATCATTATTATATAACAACTCACTAAACCATCTTTGAGGAACTGTTGACTGAGGGCTTGTATCATCTCGTGGAAGGTCAGCTGAGGCAACTCTTCCACCAAATTTTTCACAAGAGCCGGGGCACTTTTTGTTGCCTTGCTCACAATGCCCACCTGAAGAGCAGAGGTTCACGCATACACTATACAGTAACGAAAAAAACACTAAAACCGCAATCAAATACACATGTATTTGAAAACAATGTTTTACTGAGAAAAATCCTTTGTCACATAGCAAGAATAGCCTATTTTAAGTAAGATGCCAGTCAAAGAGATTGATTCCACAAAATCTCTGTGTGTTGGTTGGTGTTTCAAATAGCCTACTTTCTTTAGACAACACTCACTATCTTGCTCTGAACTTACTGTAAAAATGCAGATATTGAATCGAATAATATCAAAATCAAAGAACACTATAACCCAAATAAACCACCAAACCCCAGAAACAAAGCAAAGACCTAACAAAGGCAAACTATACGAGAGAGAAACAGAAGGAGGGGAGGGGTTGGAAGAGAGAGAGTGTGAGAGAAAGACTCAAAGAGAGAGGTCATTTATAATAATTTATAATAAAATAGAAACTCTATGGAGCATGTGTTTTTTTGTGTTATAAATTGTAAAGCGCCCTGAGCGCTTTCTTAGTGTTAATGTGCTATATTATCATGATTAAGTGCAATTTATTATTTAGGCCTCCGTATTATTTATTATTAACATTAACTATTATTCAAAGCTGGAGAAATATTTTTCAATAAATGGAACACATTGTACGAAGTAAAAATTACTCACCGCTGGCGACTCCAGGAAACGCTGCAGGTTGGAAAGATCTAGACTGTGCAGCAGAGTTAAATGATGGTAGCTCTCAACTCTCCCTAGTTTGGATGCTGTGCCAGATATCTGAAAGTTATCAATATCTTTTAAACTCAATGGTCTTCAGCAGAATATCAGGCTACGTACAGTCAAAAGTGTGCAAGATGGCCACTTGTTGTTGAGGAGAAAATTGGAACGGTCGTCTTTGACAGATAATGTCTTGGATAGTGTCATTATGATAATATTAATATATCAGAACAAATTTATGCAAAGGAAGAAGTGGGAAGTGGTCATTTGTACAGGTGACTGTCTTGGACAGGTGGTTGTAAGAGAAGGGTTGACTGTATAGAAGGAGACATGAATACTAAGGTAACAAGTAACATATTATAAACAAGTTACATGTACACAATTCTGGAAGGCACAAAAGATTATTTGATGTGAGGGGGCGCGGTGGAACAAGGCTCTCGTCAAAACAATGAAATCGAAGAAAACAGCAGTTTTCTCTCTGCTTAGCAATTTTCATCAAATTTTTGTTTTTTGACTCAACACCTTTTATGTCCATTTTGAGGATTTCACCGAAAACGTTGATTAAAGGCACAAAAATATGAATTTACAGTTTAACACACTCTCCAGCTTTGGAATTTACCAAGCTTTGGCGGCCATTTTCTCACTAATTTTACCTCTTAAACCAGGTGACCCCCACCTTCTTCAATCCAAAATATTTCCACTTCTATTGAAGATGGTTGGGTAATTTTTTCATTGAAAGCAAGACAAATGAACAAGCTTTAAGATGATACCAATAACTCAATATGACCAAAAATTGACGAGAGCCTGATTCCACCACGCTCCCTCACATATTATTATACAGTAGTCTCCAGAGCTGGTTGTAACGGAGTACAAGTACTCCGGTACTTGTACTTACGTTACAATTTTCGGTACTTTTACTGTACTCCGGTAACATTTTTGAAACCAGTACTTTTACTGTACTCCGATACTTTTCATAAAAGTACTTACAAGTACTTTTAAAGTACATTTTGAGTACTTTGGAAGCTTAATGAAAGGGTAAGTGCAGGCATTTCTGATAATAATTTACTGTAAAATTTACAGAACAAACACCCGGGCGGACACAGCCGATCAACCAAGAGTTAAAAGTTGAGATCAAAGAACGGCCCGTCTTGTCAAAGATCAGCCACTATCGTGAATGTGATCACAAGCATTGTAAAACTCCATGAAACGGTACAGTGTTTGCTCCAGACGGGATCACGCCAAGGTGTGAACTGACCGATGCCTTTCTTTTCCCCAAACATCGCACTCGCATCTAACCTCACCACCTAAACTTACATCACTTACTGGGTGGGTAGGGCCTACAAGTTCGCTCCAGGCGGGATCACATCAAACTGTGAACTCTTCCCTGACCATTGAAAGCAGTTTTTCTCTATTCCTGAATTTGCGAAACAGCCTGAATTTTAATTGGTGTGGTCACAACGTAATGGTGCGTAATGACTAAGGAGGGGGGACTCAATCAGAGATGGAAAGCTAAAATTGTTGGACAGGTGAAAGGGAGGGGCAACTGGATAAACGTAGATAAGATCTCAAGACTCACGATAGGCTAAATGAGTGTGTTATATATTATTTATGGCATGCCTCATGCCACTGTGATTGGTCATCAAGGTTGACCACTCTTTGCTTGCCATATATGTCATAAATCCACCCAGGGGTCACGTCAGTTCATGGGTCACTGTAGATTCTTCCTTGGCTTTGTCGGCTAAGATCCCATATTTTTCCTTGTTCTGAGCACTGGGATCTTAGGCGAAGACTACTGCAGTAGAGAATCTTTGGTTACACTACACTTACTAGACTGTAGGAAACTAATGTATTTTGGTTTGCCGTGGGCGCCGTGGACTACACAGTGTGACCAAAATCTGCCTTACCACTATAATCAATTGAAACTGAAACTGTGTTCTTAATGTGTATCTAACAATTTTTTAGGCTGCCTAAATTTCTTTTAAACTTTTTTTTTTGGTGGTTTTTGCTTAAGGCTACATTGGTTCCTTGAGGATTTATTAATGAAGAATTCAATACACTTTTCCATTAATTTCTATGCTGGCCATTTTCATAAATTTTATGTTTTCTTAAGAGCAACTTTGTATTTAAATTTTCCTATTTGGATACTTTTTCAGTAGAACTTTCCGACCTCTAGGACTGACTTACATTTGATCACATTGTCTTGCTCAAACAAGTTCTATTCATAATATCACTTACCCACTAGTTGCGTCTGTTCGTTTGGGTTGGGTTTTTTTTTCAATTTCACGGACCATTTCCACCGTTCAGTGCGTACGTAGTACTTTAACAGCTCTGGTAGTCTCTGCCTAAGATCCCGGTGCTCGGGAGCAAGGAAATGTGGGATCTCAGGCGAACAGGGATCTTGACCGATGGACCCAGGGAAGAATCTATGGTGACCCATGCTAAGGCTCACAATAGGTACAATGGTCTCCCTCCACTCTAAAATGAACTGACATGACCGCTTGGTGGGTTTATGACGTATAGTGAGCAAAGAGAGGTTAACCTTGGTGAACTATCACAGTGCATAGTGGCATGAGGCGTGCCATTTTCACTTTTTATCCTATCAAGAGTCTCAAGATCTACGCGTATCCAGTTGCCCCTCCCCCTTGCCTGTCGAAAATTTATAGCTTTCCATTTCTGATCGAGCCCCCCCCCCCCCCCCCCCTACCTCCCAACCGCCTTTGTCGTTACACGCCATTACGTTGTGAACACACCAATTAAAATTCAGTCTGTCTCGCAAATTCGGGAGTAGAGACAACTTCTGCAATGGTCAGGGAAGAGTTCATAGTTCAATGTGATCCCGCCTGGAGCGAACGTGTAGGCCCTACCCACCCAGCGAGTGATGTAAGCTTAGGGGGAGAGCTCAGGTGTGAGTGCGATGCTTGGGGAAAACAAAGGTTTCGGTCAGTTCACACCCCGGTCTGATCTGGTCTGGGGCAAACATTGTATTGCTTCATCAAGTTTTACAACATGTATGTGATCACATTCACGATAGTGGCTGATCTTTGACGCGACAGACAGTTTATTGATCTCAACTTTTCACTCTTGTTTGATCGGCTGTCCCGCCCGCGTTTTTGTTCCGCAAATTATGATCTGAAATGCGGGATCTTAGCCGAATGTAGACCTTCAGAGTGAATCAGAGCGGGATCTTAAGGGTGACTTTTGTATAGTAAAAATTCTGTTTTCTTAAAACAGCGGGATCTTAAATGAACCGGGACTGTAAGCGGTGGGATCTTAGGCGGAGACTACTGTATCCATCATGTCTGTCTTACATTTAATAATTTATACTGTCTCTCTCTTGTATCTTCCTTTGACCATCTGCAATTATATTTTCCATCACTTCAATGAACTGGTCTTCCTCGTCTTCTCTTGCCACGATGACTCTATCCTTGATGGCAAGGAGCATAGGATGTTGTTGTTGTTGTTTTCAAATCCCTTTAGTTGCGAGCATTTCGCTCTTGGCAGCGCAATGCCTCCCTCAAGTAACCACATGTCCCTGTCATCTGGTCAACGCCAGAGTAGAGCAGGCTTTATAAGTCTGTAGGTGTGTGTAGGAGCTTGCGTCAAAAAACTGCCAGGTTTGGGCAGTGAAGGAGAAGATGTACAACGGTCTCCTAGTGGTAGTCACAGTGTCTGCAATGGGGTTGATTCTGTTTATGTGATTGTTGGTGTGTAAGTGTCCTGTGTGGGCTCTGAAGATCAATGTCTGATCGGCTCTACATAAAAGATTCGAAGGGTCTTTGGGGTTGGGTTTGTCCATGTACCCGAAGAGAGATCTTCCTGTTTCTGCGTTGGCCCATCTGTTTAGCCACTCATCTCTGCTTTTGGCTTGGATTTGGATGATCCCTCTGCAGGTCTGTAAAGAGGCGGTTGTGTCTGTTTGGGGCAGGCTTGCTCCTGTCTTTGATAGATTGTCTGCAATCTCATTCCCTGGTACTCCAGAATGGCCAGGCACCCACTGCAGTGTGACCCGGACGCCATAGGAAGTGCCCATCCGTTTTACAAGGCTGAGGATGTTCCCGTCACCTCTGTAGTCTCCTCCTCCTTCGACGGCTTGGAGTACTGACATTGAGTCAGAGAAGACAACAACATCCCCTGGTGTTACTGCGCCTTCAAAAAAGTCTTGGGTGATCTGCTCCAGGGTCTTTACTATGGCAATTCTCTCTGCGTCATAGTTAGAGCTGTATGTTCCACATGGGCCAAATAGTTGGGTCTGCTTCTTCTCTCCAAGGTTGTTTCGATATTGGATGGTTGATCCGTATCCAGCATTCCGTGTAGCGTTTGTTGCTGACCCATCTGTGTATGCATGGATTGGAGTTTCAGCATACGAGTCCACTGTCTCCAGGGTGCCAGTTCTGAGGATTTCTTCTGGTGTGGTCTTGTCACAAGAAGGGTCTAGAAGTCTCGTCCTTATTGTGACGTCTGGTGTCTGCCAATATGGAGGTTTGCTGCTGATGTTGGCGATTGGTTCTCTGTTCTTGGGTAAGTCTTGGGTGATCTGCTCCAGGGTCTTTACTATGGCAATTCTCTCTGCGTCATAGTTAGAGCTGTATGTTCGACATGGGCCAAATAGTTGGGTCTGCTTCTTCTCTCCAAGGTTGTTTCGATATTTGATGGTTGATCCGTATCCAGCATTCCGTGTAGTGTTTGTTGCTGACCCATCTGTGTATGCATGGATTGGAGTTTCAGCATACGAGTCCACGGTCTCCAGGGCGCCAGTTCTGAGGATTTCTTCTGGTGTGGTCTTGTCACAAGAAGGGTCTAGAAGTCTCGTCCTTATTGTGATGTCTGGTGTCTGCCAATATGGAGGTTTGCTGCTGATGTTGGCGATTGGTTCTCTGTTCTTGGGTGGGTCAAACTCCTCAGGTAGTTTTGTTGCTTCTCTCATAAAGGAGGTCTTCTGGATGCGTGTTCTTGGTTCCCACTCATCTGCCATTTTCCTGTTTTCGTTCGTGTCTTCTAGCCGCACAAATCTTTCATAGGTTTTGAGTGTAGCACTCTTTCTTCTGAGGTCCAGTGGTTCTATGTTGGTGTGGATTTCGCAGGCGCTTGTAGGCGTGGTCTTCATTGTGCCAGAAACAAATCTGAGTGCTTGGTTCTGTACTCTGTCAAGCTGTGCCAAAGAGCTTTGGCTGGCTATGGATTGTAGTGGTAGGGAGTAGTCAATCACAGATCTGACATACCCTATATAAAGTTGTCGGAGGGTTGCTTTGTCAGCTCCCCAGTTGAGTGATGAAAGGTGTTTCAGGAGGTTTAGTCTGGAGTTGGCTTTCTTGGTCAGCTCCCCTAAGTGCTCTTTGAGACACAGCTTTCGATCCAGTTGTACACCAAGATACTTGGGATAGTCCTCATGTCTGATGGTGGTTCCATTGATCTCAAGGTTTACCTGACTTGCTGCAAATTTGTTTTTGAGGCTGAAGAGTCCAAAAACGGTCTTGTCTGTGTTGATCTCCATCTTCCATAGCTGGCAGTAGGACGAGATGGCTTGGTTCAGTGCTCTCATGTCACTTCCTTTGCTCCATATATGAGTAAGTCGTCAGCGTAGAGTGCTTTCTGACAGGAGATGATATCTGGCAAGTCGTTCATGAACAACAGGAAGAGGGTACAGCTGAGTGCTGACCCCTGTGGGAGGCCTTCCTCAAGTGTCCTCTGTGAAGAAATCTTGCTGTCACATGACGTCTGGATAGTTCTGCAAGACAGAAAGTTCTTGATCCAGCTGTACATCCTTCCTGCTATCCCAAGCTTTTGCACTTTGTAGAACAGTCCCAGTCTCCACACATGGTCATACTCCTGCCTCAGGTCGATGAAGACAGCCATATCATTGTCTTTATCTTGAAAGGCATCGCTGGTCTTCTGGGCAAATTTGATGAGGTGGTCCATAGTTCTTTTGCCTTTCCTGAATCCTGCCTGTGATGTGCTGATTGTTCCGGTGCTTTCCATCCACCAGTACAGTCTGTCGTTGACCATTCTCTTGTCGACCTTACCCAGGCATGATGTTAAAGAGATTGGTCTGTAGCTTGAAGGCTGGCTTGCTGGTTTGTCCTTCTTTAATATCGGTGTGATGTTTGCTTTTTTCCATTCTGTTGGGAGCTGTCCCTCATTCCAGGTCCTGTTGAAGAAGCCCAGGAGCATGGAGAGGGAAGAGTCTGTCAGGTTGAGGATCATCTCATTGGTGACGTGGTCTGGTCCTGGGGCCTTTCTCTTTTTACACTTTTTGAGGGCTGTCTTCAATTCCGTCAGAGTAAACAAACTCCTTCTCAAACACCTCCAGGTTTGCCTTGGGGGTCTGTTCTGCCCTTTTGGTTAGCTGCTTTATTGTGCGGCTCAGTTTGTTCTGGTTTCCTTTCTTGTTGATGCTAGCAAAGTATTTATTCATAACCTCAGCTCTGCATGTTTCTCCTTTCTTAGTTGGTTTCATTGGGGCGGGGTTTTTCCTTCTTTTTGTACCTGAGAGATTGGTAAGCAGGATCCAGGCTTTCCTCCCGTCCTTACACAGGTCTAGTTCTCCACAATGTTCTCTCCATGTTTGTCTTTTCTCACTTTTGGTCTTCACCTTTACCTTGGCAGTCAGGTAGTTGTAGTGCTTTCTGTTTTCTGCTGTTGGGTTTTTCTCAGCACGCTGTCTGGCTTTCTTTCTGGCCTTGGTCAGTTGTTCCAGTTCTTTGTCCCAATAAGGGCGGAACTTCTTTGGGTTCCCTCTTGGACTCGTTTCCTTAGCAGACGCCTTTAGTGCTGTGGTGATGTCCTTGTAGCCCTCATCAATTGGGTTGGTCGTGCATACATCCAGGAGTCTTCTTTCGGATTTCTGTTGGTAGAGCTCCCAGTTTGCTTTCTTGTAGTTCCAACTGCGTCTTATGGGGTTCGTCGGTTCTCGTTTCCTGTTGCTGGATATTTGCAGTAGGACAGGGCGGTGGTCACTTCCTATGTCATCTAGGACAGTCATGGAGCAGTGCGGGTGAAGGTCAGCAGAGACCAAGGTCAAGTCTGGTCTGCTGAGAGTTCCGCTGGCTCTATGAAGTAGGGTGGGAGGTGTCTTGTCATTCTGAAGTGAAATGAGGTTGCTTGATCTCAGTAGTTCTTCTAGAACTGTTCCAGTCAAGTCTGTATCACTGTAACCCCACAGTGGAGAGTGTCCATTGAAATCTCCCGCAAGAATGGTATGTTTATGGTCTGTATTCGGGAAGTTGAGCTCGAGAGTAGATCTCGGTGGGCAGTATAGGAGCATAGGATAGAAAATATAGTTTTGGACCAGAGCTTCCTGTCAGAGACAATCACCTCTGTACAAATGGCCACTTCCTACTTGCATGATATTTGTCCAAAATGTCAACTTGTCTCAGAAAACCACAGTTAACCTACTCAATGGGTGGCCAACTTGGACAATTTCAAGAATACTTGATTTATTTTACATGAAGTACAAAATAGAAGCACTGAAGACATCTTTACTACCCTTTGAGTTGCATTGTATTCTCCTCGCACCACAGTTAGATAAGGAGTGAAACCACAGAACAATGAGGGGGAACTATAGGACATAGGGTCTATACATGATAAAAATCATCTGCTCTTCATTTTTTGTGACTCAAATAGGAGGAGTGAGACATCAGCTTGACGCATTTCACTACAAAGTAAAAAGTTCCCTAAATCATAAAAAAATACCCGCCTTGTAAAATGTTTCTAGGAGAATATCATCTCTTTCATTTATGGTGAGGTTCGCATCACCACATAAGCTGAGAGCTGAAACCACAAGCTGCAAGTTCTTCTTGCGATTGTAACGATCTCGAGATGTGAGGAACGACAGGTTCAGATTCCCCATGTCGTGGTAGACTGTGCCACCTCCACTGGCCCTGTGGTGAAGGAAAAAAACCCACACATTGATGACAAGAGCTGGGAAACAGAGCATGCACCTTTATAGATACCTGTGGATTTTATCTCTCAGAATAAAATAGTGGTTTTATCTAAGCACTAAGAATAAGCAATCAACATAGCATATTCTTTACAGAACAGTCAGAAGAACTAACACGCTTCATAACATGAATAATCTGCAAAAACAGAGGGCATAAACAGCTTGCTGAGCACTTTGCTTTAACTTTAACAGCAACCTGTCCAACACAACGGCAATCCCCTGTAAAAAAGACAACTTCTTCCCCAGTATCTTGTCTACTAATATAATATGACACGGTACAGTCTTGTCTAAGACATCCACTTGTCTAGGACAATCATCATCATCATCATCATCATCAACGCCTTTCACTCCTGGCAGGGTATAGGCCACATACAAACTCCTTCCATTTATCTCTGTCCTAGCTCGTTTCAAGTGAGCTTCATCTCTCTCATGTCCCTTTTCACACATCTCCTCGATCCATGTTTCCCGTGGCCTACCCCTGCCTCATTTTGCCTGTGGCTTCCACTGCAGCGACTGTCTTGTAATGTTTCCGCTATGCTTTCTGAAGGTGCGTCCCATCCATCGCCACTTTCTTTGTCCTATTTGTACTTATATCCTTAAATATATAATCATATGTCCTGTCCTTTCCCACAGCTCTTCATTTCTTATTCTATCCAGCCACTTAATTCTTAGGATACTCCTCATACATCTGTCGATAAAAGTCTGGACCTTATTCAGCACTGTGTTTGTTGTCTTCCAAGTTTCACAGCTGTAGAGGAGTACAGACTTGACATTGAAATTAAAGAGTCGAATCTTGGTGCGCAGTGAGATTAGGACAATCAGTGAATTACTTTTCTCTTGACAATGAGCGGTTATCTACGACAATTTTGACAGGATTTTAGAAACTTTCAGTTTCTGAATTTGTAACATTAACATAAGCCAGGAGGCAACTTTACGTACACTTTGACCGTTTGTGCTAGGGGCCTGCTTCACTTCTTCTATTCTTTCTCTTCTACAATGACAAACATCTCGAGCTTCTTCTCTGTCATCCAAGCTTTTTCCTCATGAAACAAACTTGTACCCCAATTATGTGTGACGAAATGACTTCGCATTTTTACATCATATCTCTACAAAATTGTTATGCTAGTAGAGTTTTGGAGGATCAGCCTAAATTTGTTTTTGAAGTTGTGCAAATTATTTTTATGGAAATTAAATCTTCGTCTACATCGTTCCAGTTGAACAATAGTTTTTAAAATAAGGCAAAAACAATGTGTGGTAATTAATTAAAGAGTTAGTAAGGCTTTAAATTATGAGTATTTGAAAGCAAGAGTCCAGCTTTTAGCAAAAAAAGCAGTACTGTACATTTCTATTAAATTGTATTTTTTAACAAAACTAATATTATATAATATGATCTTGCAAATTACATCTTTCATCAATAATATTTAAAAACTTTGTTGATCCGACTCAATAGATTTCAATATTGTCAATAGGCATTTTATACTTAATGAACGGTGTAGCTGATCAGGTAGGCACGACAACTCGCACAGCCCCCCCCCCCCCCCCACACACACACACCCTGTCCTTCCACACACAAGCCCTAACCCTCTCCCAAAAATCGCGATTTGCGATTGCTATGACAATTTACGCGTTTGATTTGCGCAAGTGTGCTACGAAATGACCGTTTCCATTCAACCTTGTGGATTTCGGGTGTGACGAGATGACTGTGACGTTTTGACTGCACCAGTGTGATGAAATGACCATGTGACGAAATGACTGGTATTCAAGAATTTGATCATGAGAGATCCTGACTAACCTGCGTGCGACGTCAACGTTTTCTTCTCTGGCCTGCGGAACATTTGCTTCCAGCCATGGATTTTGATGTCGTCCCAAAACAACAGCAGGTTTGTTTTGCCAAAGTAGGAGGTAATCATTTGTAGACAGAGCAGCATTTGAATACAACCATTCTTCCAGAGCTAAATTCTCAAAGATACAATTGGATGTCGATACTAGAACATGGTAATTTCGACCTGATAAAGACTTGTCATTTTTCATTTTGCTAGAGGTGGAAAATCCTCTGAAGCACACAGCCCTGACTCCTCGCAAAGTATAATTATATGTTAAACTCTGTTTCCACAGTTGTAGTGAGGCGGGGGTTCTCAGGGCCATAGTTATTATTATTATGACAAGGTCAACTAGCACAGGCCAAGCTGGTACTTCTGACCTCAGTAGGGACTCGAGTCCAAGGAGTTTGCCAGCACTGAGCCTAACCTACACAATGTTGTGCAAAAGTAAAATTAAGGATGTAGGTCTGTGTATGTGTCATAATCCTGAAGTTTTTCCCATTTCAAGTTCATTCCCTCCTTGAATGATAACCATTTCCATGTTTTGTCAGTTTCACTTCACTTCACTGCTCATCAAGTATCATAAGAAGTAGCACACGTCTTGTCAAAGATATTTAGCGCGGTTCAGAGCTCTCCATACGCTCATGTCATCTCTGAAGTTCCCAGTTTGAAACAAAAATCAGTCATGTTGACCGATAAGTCACAATTATTGACTGTTACAGCGATCTTCAAGGCACCCAAGGCCAATGTTGTTGTCCACCACAAACTTAGCAGAGTCAACACATGTGTAAGCAAAATAGGTCAAAGGTGAAAGTTTTGTACTGGGGAAACTACAGTCTACAGTATATTCTCATTTTAAAGTTTTGTCGGAGTTCTGTGACGGAAAAGTATTTCAGAGGATTGCTTTACGCAAACCTAAGAAGATTTGGGTCTAATTAGTTTAATCTAATTTAGTTTCTAATTAAGATTGCTTTATGCTTTGTCTTAAGTGGAATACAATTAGATCTAATGCTTTAATCTTATCTGAATACTCTATTGAGCTGTCAGGAAATAAATTAATGTTTTTAATCTCTTTCAGGCCGGCAAGATGGCGACCTCCTTGGTTGGACCATACGATGTTTGGCTAACAGAAACACTTACTGCTGCGAGTGCCGATATAGACACAGATGTGTTTGTTAGTTATATTATAGGAATACTCGATGACGACACACCCGAGGAAGATAAGAAAGAGGGCATAACGGAATTACTCTCAGGAGTTGTGGTAAGTGTTACGTCAATGGGACGACTGTTGAAACTGACCATGGACCATAGACTGGAGACTGAGTCACTAACTATAACTAACTGAGATAAAAGGTAACATCTCTCTGGCTCTAGCCACTGATGATACAGTGGTGTCCACTTACCAACCCAAACAAGAGCAACTTCCACGTGCCAGCAACCTAAGCTTGACTTACTAAGTTTTGAAAATATAAATAGGCCCTTTTAACAGCGGTTTCCTCTAACAGTAAAACTTTTTTTTGGCTGTAAGTTGTCGGACTTTCTATTCTCCACGTCCATGATTTAAAAACAATTTAAGTGCTAACAATGACCTATAATATCAGTGTGCATGCATCTCACATCTCTTGTTTATCTTCTCACAACACTAACACACTCTCAGTCCAACAATTCACTACACAAGCAAAGAATTTCGGCGCTTTTTCGTCTGTTACCCCAGGCTGCCATCTTGGATCGGTAGTATTCGGGTGGTGTTTCCACCTGTTCAGTAATCGATAGGCCTATAGAATCGAGCATCGTTGTCTTGGCCTAGATTGTCTGATCATAATAATTATTTTTTCAATGCTGTTTTGACTTTGTTAATGTTGTTTTGTTGTTTGACTTTGTTAACGTTGTTAGTTGTTTTGTTGTATAGATCGGTTTTTTAGTGTGTTTTATTTGACTTGTGATTGTTGTTTGAAAGAAGGGTTTGACTCTCACTTTTAGTTAATTTTAGCACTGACCTGGTGCTACCGCGCCCTTCTGTGAATACAATTATTAGACTACTAGTACTACTAGTTACTAGATCTAACATTCATTTATTACGATCGTCACAATCAAATTTCAGATCCCTCTAAGAGGGAGAGGTGGGAAAAGAGAGAAAGAGACAGAGATGATTTAAAGAGAGAAAGAGGGATCGAAGAGAGAGAGAGAGCGAGCGAGAGAGAGAGAGGGAGGAGGGGGGAGAAAGAGAGACAGAGATTATTACAAGAGAAACAGTTAAGAGAGAGAGAGAGGGGGGGGGTGATAAAATGAGAGTCAAAGATGATTAAAAGAGAGACAGGAGAGAGAGAGACAGAGATTATTTAAAGAGAGAAAGAGGGATCGGAGAGAGAGAGGGAGAGAGACAGACAGAGTGGAGGGACAAAGAGATAATTGGATATATATA